TATTTCAATGTATCTTTCTCATGATTCGGCTTTTTTTTTGTGCAGCACAATTGAACTAAAGGTTAGCGCTCAAAATGTGATAATAACTCTTAAATTGTTTTTAAAACGTTTAACAACCGATACGAAGTGATTTTTTTTTCATTATCCACTGACCCGTCAAAAACTTGTCTCAAAACTAATCAAAAAATAAAATTAATATCGAAAAGTTAAAAAAAAGGTTTTTTTTTTATTGAAAGTTTTGTCTTTTTAAATCTATAGAATCCAAATCACGATTGTTATTGGTTTTCTATAATTCCACGCTCTAAGCCATTCAACTATTTGTTGAGACAGTTGATATCGCCCAAAGTCTACCTCAATGAGTAATTACAAGGCACCACGCTTGCTATTGTTTAAAACTTCTTACATTCAGGTTTTGATTGCTAATAAAGTTATGGATTGTATATAGTTGAGGAGACTTTTTTCTATTTCAGACCAGTTACGGCAATCGAAATGGCAATTCTCAACAAAATATTTTATACCTAGAAGAAAATATCGACTCCCAAAGTCAGACTATAAAAAGAGTGGCATACTTGCAATCATTTTTCGCACAATTCTGATGTTTGAAAGTTGCCAATTTTGCAATATTCCTTGACTATTTTAGTCTCGATTTTATGAGTTATTTTTAATGCCGAAAGTTTGAACGCTAGTTGTTTATGGGTGGCAAAAAACTCGGCACTCAAACTCATTTAAAAATGAACTCAAAGAAGCTAAATTGTTATAAAGTTAACGACTTAATTTGAAAAAACCTTAAAATTGATGTTGGCTGTGATAAGAGGAAACAAAAAATTCAACAATTATAGTTTGATTGAGATTACACGGTGCTTTGATTTTACGAACTATTTCTCATTTCATTAATATTTCACTAATAATGATGCCACTGGAAACATTCTTTCTAATAACTTACCAAAGTTTGCCAACTTCTGATGCATTTCTTGATTGAAGTGGAGTGGATTTTGTTCACGAATTTTTTCGCAGTTTTTTGAACTTCCACAAATTTTTGACCTCGTATTTTCATTATGGTTTGAATCTAGACAAAAAAATATGCAAGTTTTGTTGCGACAATTAGAATCAATATTAAAAATTGACCGCTTATAACGGGTCAGCTAATGTGGCTCAGAATTTCGCAAACCTAAAGAATCAATTGATCTTATTTTTACATCAATGAATTTGTTATGTTTGCTCAATCCTGAACCCAGCAAAATGAGTCGTTTTAGGGGTTAAATTTTGATTCAAATTGTCGGAAAATCATTGCTCAAAAAAACCTGGTTACAGTCCAGTGAAATTTAAACCACATTGTTTTTTGTCTGATGTAAACCCAAATTGAAAAAAAAATTGAGTTCTTTTCAATCTATCGGTTTACAAAAAGCAATTCATCTCAATCAAATGTATCATCAGAACTTGTCATTTTTTTACTGAATGACAAACTGAATATGAACAGCATATGACAAAATTGAACAGCATAAATATTGGGGAAAAAACTGACTTCAATAACATAGATTTGGTTGATAAAAATTGTGGTTTAAAAACACCCAAAGGGCAGTCAGAGCAATCATTCTAGCTGTTCAAGTTTTCGAAACGACGACGAACTATTTATGCTTGGGGTGGCTTTTTTTTGTTATAGCAGCTCGTTTTTTTTTATTCTGCTTTTTTGACAAAAAGTTTTCAATCATCTGAAAAAACTTAATGCTGTAACTTCAAAATTGAAAAAATATGTCTCATGTGTCTACTTTTCTATTACGGTTATGTGGAAAAATAGAACCCTAATAAGTTGAGTCATGCTAGTTAGTCTAAATAGTGTGCTAGGAAATGCAAATATTATCACTTTGTTTTTACGTTCAAAAAAAGAAAAAAAAATTCCAACTTTTTTGTTGTTAAATTATTTTCAATACTTTTTAACAGATTGTTTTCGAAAAATTCAAAAAAATGTTTAACCATTCAGGACCACGCCTTGATATAAGCAATCTCGTTGACCTAATTTTAATTTGAATCCAGTGTACAAAAGCTGATTGTGATCTCAATTTCTTTCAGACAGTGTTTATTCGTGTTTTTAAAAATTCAGTAAACTTAATACAAGGATGTGTGTACCATCTTTTAAAATAAGACGTTGAAAAAAAAGACAATTTAGATGCCTTAAATTTCCATCAAGATGAGTTTTGTGATCTTACGCAACTGAGGAATCTACATTTCTTCCCTGACTGATTTGAATACTTCAACTTGGCTATTGTAGAGATTTGATTTTTATGATACTTTTAGCTATTTAAAAGTATCATAAAACGCTAGATCAAGTATTCGATCACCTATTATGGTATTGATAGTGTTTTAGGATGGGCTCTCACTTGATTTTTATCTTCAGTAGCTTCATTTCGTTCTACCACATCCTGACCATTTTGGCGGCTATTGTGGTACAACGTGAAAGTTTTAGACACAAAAAACACGGCATTGAGTCGCAAACAAAAAATTGGCTCAAAAAAGTCAGTATGAAAAGTGGGGAAATAATTAGGGCAAAACAAACAGGGCCAAAAGATTTTTCAAATTAGAGTGAACTTACAAACAGAAGGAGTATATCATCACAGAACCAATAACAATATTTATATGAGCGTATTATGAAACTTTAAGTCAAAAAAGTATAGCTCTTTCTTAAAATATACAATAAATTATACAACAAATTCATAAATTATACAATTGTGAAAATAATAACCTAATTTATAGTTAGACAACCAGAGTTCGCTCAATAAAATCAATTTAAGTCTCTAAAAAGTTTCCACAAAATTTGCACACAAGTGTTCAACTAAATTCAGTTATTTTTAGATTGTCTTTTTTGCTTGTCGTTTCCTAAACCCGGGTTGCACACTCTTTCACAGATTCTCTGTGAAATGCAAATTATTATGAACATGATTCAAATTATTATTATGAATATGATTCAGATCTATGTTTCAACAAAAATTTGCAAAATGAACAATTCTAAAGCATGGATATGAATAATTTCAAAAAGCAATGGAACATATTAAAACCATTTGCTTGTTTTTTCAAAAGTGTTTGTTGAATTTTTCCTTTCTTAATTTAATTTGAAAAAAGCGTTTTCCAGTGCGTTTATTAAGGCAGTATTTGATCCAATGAGATATTTTCATTTTAACGTATAGTGTTTTCTCTGCCAGAATATTTCACTATTATGCTTGATACAAAATGAAAATTGAAATTGGCTCCAATTATTATCATTGTCTAAATTGTAAATTTTCAAAATACTTGGCAAACTTTATTGTTGTTTCAACTTCAAAGAAAGTGCGGTTCTTTCTCTTTGTGTTATTGGGGTAGTTCTTTTATTCAGTCATTTTTCGACTTCCTAAAAAGCATTGTAGACGCTATTTTTTATACGATCTTTAGTGTTTTCAAAACAATAAGAGACGCTTAACACACGTTTTCTATCTTATATAGCATGTCGGGGATGAAATGAAAGAATTGTCCATTTTAGAATTATTTTGTCAATTGATCAACTAAGAAAGTTCTTGATGGCCTTAACGTGCAGTCATAACATTGAGGGCCTCGCCTTAATATACAAGCATTCTTGTTATCTTGTGATAATCAAAGGTATTGCAACCGGGTACGAGATACTTTTTCCCGTCAATAACTTTAGGCACAAAATGGTCAAATAAGAAAAAGTGCATGGTTGCCTAATAACGTGGTAACTGTAAATTGAGTTAGCTCAATACAGTCACGACGCGGCACTTAATTCTGTTATGTTAATAGTTGCAAATGAGTTTTTGTAGGATTCCAAATTTTTTGTTACTTTTTCGGCACGGTTGCTTTTTGTTTCAAATAACTGTTTTTGTTATTATAAGAGAGTTATTGAACAAAAAACTTTCAAACTTTTTTAAAATTCTTTTGTAAATTTTTTCAGTTCAAAGTAACAAAATTGGTTATAAAAATTAGTTCTAAAAGTTTTTGGCTGTAAGATCGGCTCTACGTAATTTTTTTTTGTTTATGCCGATAAAAGAGATAATTATTTTGCACATTATTTTGTTCAGTTTTTTTTGAGTTTTTCGGTATTTGATTTTTGAAATTTTTTTCTCATTAAATTCTAAATTTTCTCATTAAATTTTTTTTGGCTACAAAAGTTTATTTTTTGGTTAATTTGTTTATTAAAGTCACTGACCATTGCCTAATAGTATATAAATTATGCGATAACGAGATCGGTCTGCTTCAACTCCGTCGGCTTATATTCCGAATGACTCTAACCTATTATTTTCTGTTTTTATTATAAAGATCAGTCGAGAGATTTTTAATTGCGCTTTCAAGCCCTCCATAACTAAACTAGAAAACAAATTTAAGAAAAATAGTCAATTTTTTGAAATAAGATTTTTTCTTCAGTTTTTGGCTTTCTAGTTGTTTATTATTACTGCAAAAACCTTCGATATTTAGATTGCGCGACTTGTATTTTTTTTCTATCGCAAATAGTGCGAAGCTCTGCAAAACGCCAAATCCAAACTATTTTTCTATTGAACTAATATGGTAGTGAGAATTAGGCATTCAATGCACATGAAACATCAAATTGAGACTGTAAATTTATCCTGGTCGAGTTGCTCACTTTATATTTTAACCATGTCGACCAAAAATTGGTATGTTTCGATCGTTTCGACCAAAACTCGGTATGTTTTGGCCGTGCCAGACTCAGGCAAGATTTGTTTCGACCGTACTCGACCAAATTTGGGTATGTTTGGGTATGTTTCGAGTTATCCAAAAAATAAATGTTATATTTTATGCTTCTTGGGTAAAATTTTATGATGGTTCCTTATAATAATGAAAAAATAAGTGTTATTTGCAATTTAGATTCGGTGAAAATATGAGCTATTTTTGAGTTTTTCCATCTTTTGGAAGACTGGTTTGCATTTTGAGTCGAAAACGATGATATTTAAAAATGTTGAAAAAATATGATTTTTAAAAGAAAATTTTCCATTTGACGACGAATTCCCGCGGGACAATCGGTCTCGACCGTGCTTGAGGTATGTTTTGACCGTGATCGACCGTGCTCTACTTTACGAGGCCAAGTTCTGCACTAGATAAGGGCAGGGTTTTGTATCTGTGTTCCTGGATTCCAGCGACAAGTCTTTAAACAAGTTATAGTTTTGTCGGAACGATCAAAGAAAATGAACGAGAAAAAGAAGAAGAAAGGAGCGTTATTGATGCGGAATCCGGTGACAATTCACAAAACGCACAGTTTGGTCTCGTAATGTAGGTATGTTTCGATTGTGCTAGAAAGAACAGCTATGGCTGAGTGGATAAGACGCACGGCCTTTAACACAAAGGTTTTGGATTCGAATCCCGTTACGGTCCCGGTTGGAGGGGTCCCAGTGCCATCCGCCTCATCAAGCTGGGTCCAACTGCGGAATATTTGATGACATCTGTCTCCTGTACGAAAAATAGGCCCAATGTTGGGAGCTGGGCCGGGTGCTAATTGAAAATTCGTGCTCGACCCAAACCCCTGTCTCGAATAATTTTTTTTCGGTCGAACACTGCCATGTGCTTGCTCGACTTTGAAAGTCGATATATAAAGTAAGCACCTCTACCCGATTACTTCTTCAACTTTAATCGACTGTTTCAAAATGAAGCCGAAATCTTTCCATATTCAAATAGATGTGTTATTTTTGAATGGTACAATTGTACTGGTCGACCATTATCAAACTACTCATTTTCACCCCCATGTACCGCAGGTTTTTGTTCAACTGTCTCAGCACTTCGAAAGGCAGTGTCTTCTCCCGACTGTAAATGAAGAGGTACTCGTTATCTGGCCCTTGTAGCTTAGCACAACCGTAGAACACTGCGTATTGGTTCTCGTCGAACATTACTAAAGTCAAACATTACGACATGAAATATTACAAATGTTACGAATAAAATAAGTTGCACGAAGTCAATGCTAACATATATTTTTAAAAATTTTGTTTCGAATTGGAATGCTTTTTTATAATTGATTGAAAAAAAAAGAATTTTGTCTAAAATCTTCCTTTCCAACTTTAATTTTTTTGTCTAACTTTGTGCTTGTCTAATTCACACACCCCATATGGATAAAGTAAACGTGTAGCATCTACTGAATCATTTCACCTAGTTTAACGTTGTATGTCTTTCGCAGTCTTCTGGTCAGACGCAGGTGCATTTCGCCTTTCGATTGGTGGGATTGTCTGAGTGTTCCTATCAGTGACTCGTACTGATGACCGTCGGTTCCAGTTTTGTTCGCAATTAAGGTTTTCTGACCTTAAAATGTCAACATGGGACAATAGACATAACAAGTCTCAATAAAATAACTTAAATTATATTCATCCGTTTTAATTTTAAAACAAAGAGGATTCTGCGAAGACTGTTCCATGAAGCTTTTTGAAGATTCTGAAAATCATGCCTGATCTCTTTCATCCAAGACAATTCTGGCCAATAGTTTTTCGATGGCAATGTTGTGCAAGAATAAACTCTTTTTTTGTGCGAGCATCACAAAGAATATCGATATTTGAACAAAATAGTTATGGTTAGCAAATTCATGTTTTATGGAAAAAAAATTGAGAAATTCAAATAGCTTTTTTCGAAACTTACTGTGATTGTCAACCGGCTACGGAAAAAGAATGTAATAGCTGCAAAATAAAATAATCATTACACAATGATACAGAAACATAACTGATTTCAAAAGCAAAACAAGGATAGCCGGTTGCTCTGCAACTAGTACAGAATGTTCCGATCACATAAAAAAATACAAATAGATATATTTTTGTCAATTTGGTGTTTTTTTTCGTGTGATCTGATTAGACTTCTACGAACAAGTAAAATGTTTGTGAAGTTTTTTCAAAACAATTCTACAAAACTTTTGCTACTTTTTTCATTTTTTTGATTTGTAGAAAAAAACTTTTGATTGCAAAGGAAGCGCAAAATGAAGCTTCCAAAATTAGTTTCCCTGAGGTGAAGCTATGTATTCACAACATTTTTTGCCTTTCACAATACTCTCTGAAATCAAATATTGGATGAAAGTGCTTCCGTGCTATCACTTGATACGACCCTCAAACCACTAAAAACCGATACAATTGAAAACGCCTGAAAATATTTAATTCCCATTTTCGAGAGTGACCGGATCAACATAAGCATAATTAAAATTGGCGAATTTAACGGAAATCCACAACTTTTTAAATACTTTTTTTTCTAGATTTTTTTCCTAAGTATTATTTAAAATAAGCGTAGCTGCTTGCTGTGAATGCAACGTCGATTGAGCCGACCACAATATCTAATTATCTTTTCTAAAGGAAAAAAAAGACCTTTGTTCTTCAGTCTTTTTTCATTTTTTCTCGCCAATTTTTGAGAAACAAGAGTGAAATAAACTTAAGCGTCAAATTAGATAATAGTACTAGACTAGGCAATAAATCAAAATTTTAAGACCATTTATCCACGAGGGAAGGGACCAACATACGAGCTGTACAGCTCATCACGGCGAACCACTGTTGTGCCAGAGCTTAAAAACTAAATGCATTTTTAAATTTTTTTTTCTGGGCTGAGTAATATTGCCTCACAAGCAACGAACGCGGATCAAGGTTGCCCTCGAACATCCGACCTTTCGATTGATAGGCGAAAACGTAACCACTTTACCGCCGCTCCCTTTAGTGTCTGATTTTAGGCTATATCAACTTACATACGCTGAGAAATTACTCAAACAAAAATATTTAACCAATTTTTCTCGAGACTGAAAAAAATTCAAAATAACTTTTATCCAATTTCCGAGGGCTTTACTAAGATACCGCCCATGATGCCGTATAACTGTTCTTTGAAGTACTTGATACTGCGAGAATAAACCCCAATACTTTTTGTTATACCCACTACTCTGAAAATAGTTAGTGGTTTGAACCAGGGGCAGATCTAGGATTATTTCAAAGGGGGAGGCGAATTTTCAAAAAAGTTTGACGACCTTTTTTTTAGGTCGAGCAAATTGATTTTCCGAGCTCTCCCAGAGTACTAAAGTTTTGGCCAAATTTTCTGCGCCGCAGGCAAAATTTTGAAAAACCCGGCCAAAAAAGCATTTCTACGCACTTTTAGGAAAATTTTGACAAAAAAACACGTTTTTTTGCCCCTCCCCTCAATTTTAGCTTATATTGGCGCCAAAGGCGGCTATAGAAAATTTTAAGAGCTCGTTACCAAAAACGGATTTGTCAAAATAGTACAAAGGGCGTACCCTTTGGTTGGCAAGGGGTCGAATCCCTGAAGGGGGTCGCCCCCCCCCCCCCAAATTTGCCCCTATTTAGAATAAATATTGTTCCTATCATTGAAAACGGGTAGAAGTTTTGTCCTTGGATGGGTCTTCTTATTTTCCACGCAAATTAGAATACCACAAAAAATTATCGAAATGGCTCGAATTAAATTTATTAAAGCTTTTTCATTTCTAATTTGAATGATTTCTAAAATTTCTCACGAATTCACTCATTGTCTAGAAAAAACAGTGTGAAATTTATGATTTTTACCCTAATTTTGATTGAATAAAGCAAGCGAGCAGGCTTATAATTGGCTTATAATAGTCATATAAATCAAGTTTAGCCGTAAAAACTTTGTTCTTTTCCATTAAAATTAGTTTTCAAATTTTCTTTTGAGTCTTTATTGGAAATAAAAAGTAAAATAACGAAAAAAAAGATTAAAAATTTGAAAATATTTCAATAAGTTGATTGATTTTTTTCGAAATATTTCAGAAAACGTTTTTTAATTTTCTATTTGAATGAAAATGTAGTCAAATCAGTTGCGGATTCCTGGGGGGAAGGGGGGGGGGGGGGGAGCGGACGACCCCCTTTTAGGGATTCGATATCCTGCCGACACATTTTTGGGCGCCAACATATACTAATTTTGAGAGGGGAGCGCGCGCCAAAAAAATTGCTATTTTTTGGTTGAATTTTTCCAAAAAGTGCATAAAAACGCCTTTTTGGCATGTTTTTTGAAAAAGTGGGCTGCGACGCAGAATTTTGGTCAATATACAGTCTTTGATTTGGGGGAGCTCAGAAAAGCAATTTGGTCGACCTAAAAAAGGTCGAGAAAAATTTGAAAGTTTTTTTGAAAATCCGTCCCCCCCCCCCCCTTGAAAAATCTTTAGATCCGCGCCTGAGTCAAATGCACTCAACCTAGGGTTATCATTTGACGGAAAATGAATTTATATGCGACGCAATTTGAAAGAAAAGGAACTGCTTTTTTCAAGTTTTTTTTTGTGAACGGAACGTTTTTGAGTTAGGACCGAAGTGTAACTCATAGAGTAATTTCGGATAGGGTACACCGTCTGCTCGTCACGCTATCTTATTTTCGGCCGGATAGATTCGTGCAACTTCTTAGTCTAATACCGATCCTAATCTTACTCTTATACTATCTAGTCTCAGGTTGTTTAACTAGTCTCTGCTAGGCTCAATAGATCTAGGGTATACTGGTTTATTGCGGCTGCTGAAGTGCTCGGGAGAGTCCAACTAATTTCTAAGTTAAATTCAAATCTCTCTGGTGCTGAAATTACAAGTAACTTCAGCACTTACAAATAAGTGGGTTGTTAGTTAGATGGATCATGATTGGTTAATATTAAATACTTTACATTGGTAAAACATTTAATTTATCCAATCATAAAATATAGTTTAGATCAGGTTCCACCCATCCGGGTTTTACAGAGTTTTTTAGAACAGTTCTTCTGTAATTCAAGGGTGGATGATGGACGTTGGTATTTGGCGAACATCATAATTTTCTTCCGCTTCTTCTTGTGACAACGACTGAGTCTTTGCAACAAAATCAATTCTGATTTCAGAATGGTTGGCTATGTCAGGTTTTTCTGTTCTTCGGGGAGAACTTCTTTTGTGTCTGATCTAGCTTGGGAATGGCGTGGAGATTGTGCGTGGAGGGGATGCCTGGTTACTCGGATCTGTACGTATACTTGAACATCGAGATGGTCATTGGTCTAGTTCAATGAAGTCCTTTTCTGCGAAGTCAAGTCGTACTCTAAATCCTTTGAGTTGTGATTGTGAGCGGCATATCGATTGTAGTTGGTTATTCTCTCTCGAGTGTAGTGAGGTCGTCTTGTCTTTTGATGTTCGTCCTTGGTGTTGTATTCTGATCTATATATTGCATCATGTGATTTTACATTTTATAAAACTTTTATTAGTTTAATATTTTTTAATCATGATTTTAGTTAGTTGTTTTCACAAAAGCTTTTTGTTTTAGTTCGGTTATTTTGAAGAGTTACTCACCCTTGAGTAGCTCTTATTAAAAATAAAGGTGTGGTCACAAAGCGTGGATGTAGCGCGGTGGGTTAGGCCGGCTATAGAGCATGCTCAGGACGTCCTTTCCTGGTGGGTTAGGCCAGGAGTGGGAGTATGATTTCATGCGGTGTTTGTGAGGGGTCCTGTTATGTGACAACGTTTTATGTTGGGTTTGTTGTGGTTTTACTTATGTCTTGTTGGTTATGTACTTTTTCCAAAAAGCAAATTGTTTGTGGTATGGGTTTGTCTTTCGACTTTTTTGTGTTTTATTATTTCTTTCTAAGACTTTATAATAGTCTTCAAAAGAATAAATTATCCAGTTTTAAACTGGGTTAATCCGGTTTGGGTACCGTTGGTTTCCTTTTCTTAGTCATGCTGTTATTCTATGATTTGTGGTATTTAGTAAGCTGCGTTGGTTAGTTTTGTTTAGTATATGATTCCTTTCCAACCGGGTTAAAGGAAAGTTTGAAACTTGTTATCGTGTGTTAGAGTTATTGAGTGTGAAAACTTGAAACTGAAATTCATTATTTTAAACAATTCTTCGTGGGCGAGCTGTGCGAGTGCGGATAGAATTTCTGTGCAAATGAATAAAAATATCAAAAGGTTAGTACTGCAATTGCATTTTATTAATTTACTGCATAGAATTTGGAAATTTACTGCTAGTTATGGGGGAATTTTAAGATACAAATTTTCATCATAATTAGATTTACTGCTGTTGGGGGAAAATTTACAAATTAATTTACTGCATTGGTATTATATTTATTTAATTGTTGGTGCAAAAGTTTAATAGGGTCTTAAACAGTTTTGAAGAAGTTTGCTATTTTTTATTTTTCTTTTGTGAATTTTTCAGATGGTCTAGGATGAAGGCTAAAAATCTAAAGAAAACATGAATAAAGAATGGTGAGTTTTTAATATTTTAATTAGTTAGTGATATCATTTAATTCATACTTACCTGTTAGTCGTCGGGGAAAAAACCGTGGGGGAAGATGTCGTGAATTAGTTCTGAAGTTG